CTCATGAACTTAAATTTAATCACAATGGTGTTATTTTTCAGATTTGTATCTTCTCTAAGATTAAAAGATTTTAAAAGCTTTAACTCAAGAATATTTAGATGCTACTAAATCTTCTCTCTAAACTTCTCACTACAAACTTGTGCTTAAATAGAATATAATACTCATGAACTTAAATTTAATCACAATGGTGTTATTTTTCAGATTTGTATCTACTCTAATATTAAAAGATTTTGAAAGCTTTAACTCAAAAATATTCAATTCCTTGACACTAATTGGACCAATTCCTAAAAAAAAATCCCTAATTTCTAAAAAAAATGTATATCATGCAAATATGAATGCAACTAATGTAAGAATGGATGCCTAAAAGTGTATCTCTCCCCTAAACTTAAATCAAACATTGTCCTCAATGTAAAATAAAAGTAAGAGAAAAGAGAAACTTCCCAGGTTTTGCACTTGAAGACTTAAAATTGAAGTTTTGAAGTTGAGTTGTCTTCATTTAGAGGAGACTTTTAGCATGTGAATTTCCATAATCTTGTCCCCCAAACTTGTTCAATGACCTGGCCAAAATCAAATAACAACAATTTATGCATTAACCTAGGCCAAAAAGAGAAAAAGAAAAAAATTAAAAGAAAATCTGAACTATAAAAGAAAAAGAAAAGAAAAGAAAAGAAAATTTTATGCTTGGGTTGCCTCCCAAGAAGTGCTTAATTTATAGTCATTAGCTAGACTTTCTACCACTCTAAGGTGGTTTTAGATCAGGTCGTAGGGCATGTCCTCTCGTTTTCTTGAATCTTGGCTTTTTTGCCCTTACGTTGAATCCACCATAAGATTTTCTCCAATGACTATTCTGAGGTGGTTTGGGTTTAGGACAGCAGATGTGCCTTCCCAATTCTTCTAGGAGTGCCCCCTTTGATTCCAAGGAAGATGATGTGTTCAAGCAATTTATGTATTCTTCGATTGAGTCTTTTGCTTGAGTAGGGTAAATCTCAAATGGATTCTCATAAGTGTTTTTCTGCAAAATCTCATCAACCATATCAATAACAAAATAATCATTAAAATCAGATTTGGTTAAAGAAGACTCACCATTGAACACTTCAAATGACACTTGAGCTTTTTCCTCTTTCTCTTTAGGGACATCCTCTTGTTTAGCTTCTGCAGGCATGTTTTCCACTTCTTCAAGTTGTCCTTCAATCTCCAAGAGTAAAGTGTTTACCTCTTCTTCTTGATTTTTCATTGTTGCACTAGGTAACTCACCTTGTATCTCTTCAGCAACTAAGTTGAGCAAATGACTTGATTGAACCTCTAGATTTTTATTCAAACATGTCTCTTCTTCTAGAGCTTGAAATCCTGATTGTGGCTCCAATATATCTTCATTATTTCATGAGGTGTTTGGATCAAAATTGCATGTATTGGGATAAGAATTATACTGCTGACTATAAAACTCACAAGAAAAATCAACACACTTGTTAGATCGTTTAAAGTAGCAATCAAAACTAAAATGGTCTAATCCACACCATTCACAAGTGATATTTGATCGTTCTATTCGAGCCTTCCTTAATTTGATCCTTTCAATGGCTGCTTGAAGTCGTTCAAGTTCATCATTGTCAAGCTCTGCATCCCAATTGATAGTTATTGCTTCAACTTGTGCTCTTATCTCTGGCGCAAGCCAATGATAACTAACATAAGTACCTATGGCAACTCGATTCATAGTTAAACCTGCAAAAACAAAAACAAAGAAAACAGAAAAAAAATCAAAGTAAAGAAATAAAAGAAAAGAAAACGTTCAAATTAAATCTAGAATTAACCAACTCTGATATTAATTAAATCAACAATCCCCGGCAGCGGCGCCAAAAACTTGATGCACTAAAATTACCCTAGCAAGTGTACTAGTCGCTCCAAGTAATATAATGATGAATAGAGTGTCGAACCCACGAGGATTGTGTCTAACTAAGTACCAAAATAATTA